CCACTTGAGCGATACTTAGTCTAGGATGCCCAGTAGTACCCTTATTCCTTTTTTGTAGTCCTAGGTTCCTTATAAAGTTACCCAATACCAAAAGGAGAGGCCTTTTTATTCTTAGGTTACTGGGTATCCTAGGAGTCTATGGGTTCACAGATTCCTGAGGGCTCAACCAGACCCGAAGTCCTAAACCATATAGGGAACTCCAGAAAGTTGGAATATGGTTTCAGGGTAGGATACCCTATAATTTACCATAGAAGGGTTAGGAGAATCATATTCCAACTTTCTGGCTTTTACCTTATACCCTAAAGCACTCTTCCGACTCATGCAGACGTAAAAGACAGGTCAGCTTTAAGAAAAAACGCTCTTCCAGATAGGTTTGCAGTCTACTAAGACGGCTTGGGGGCCGCCAACCCTAAATGAACCCTAACCCTAAACCCTAAATGAACCCTAAACCCTTAACCCTAAATGAACCCTAAACTCTACATAAACCCTAAATGAACCCTAAACCTAAACCCTAAATAAGCCCAAAACCCTAACCAAAAGCCGGGTCAGAGGACTACTGGGCCATGCTCTCCGGGGGCTGCGACACCATCATCCGCGTGCCGCTGATGCGCCGGGAACTTGAGTCTTCAGGGGTGTAGGGTCTAGAGCGGAGGGTGCAGGGTTCAGGGGGGAGGGTGGAAGGTTTAGGGGTTTAGGTGTTCGGAATGCAGGGTTTAGGATATAGGGTTTGGGGTTCGAGGGTAACCCGAAGCTCTTAACCTTAAACCTTTCACCCCAAGCCCCAAACCCTAAATCTCTTACCAGACCTTCAGCCCAAGATTTTCCCGTATCCTCTACCCCAAGCCCCAAACCCGAAACCCACAACCCTAAACCCTAAACCCTAAACCCTAAACCCTAAACCCTAAACCCTAAACCCAAGCCTCATGGCCTCCCTGACTCAAGGCCACCGACTGAGGTCTCGAAGCCGTGAGCCCTCGATGATCTTATCATTCTAATCGGCTATAACTTTCTAGACTGGATATATATATATATATATTTATAAATACAGGTATATCTATCTATTTATCTAACTATCTATCTATCTATCTATCTATCTATATTTATATATATATATATATACATATATATATGTACACATATAAGTCTTCTGTGGCTGGTTGGGGTAGCAAGTCGGACAAACAGCTCAACACTCAAATCAAACCCTCAATCTCCCCATGAAAAGAGCGTAAAAAACAACCCTAAACCCTAAATCTAAGCCCCTACAAAAACCCGAATCCCTAAACCCTCAACCGACTATCTGGCAGACATCAAAAAGGAGCTTAAAAAAAAAAAAAACTCAACCCTGAAATCGGAACCCTTAAACCGTCCACCGTACCAAAACCCGAACCCCTAAATCCTAAAACCTCTTTAAACCCTTCCGGATTCCTTTAAAGGAGCGCCTTAAACCCTCCACCCTACAAGACGAGCGACTTCATTGTTGAGGCTGGGATTTAGAGCTCTACTTCTCCCCGGACTCAGATGCGCAAAGCCAGGGGAAGGTGCGACTTTGAGGGTTTAGGGCGTATGGTTCAGGGGCCTAGGGATTAAGGTTTTAGGGTCTAGGGCTTTTCTGTTGGCTCAAATTTTCAGAGTCTCTTTGGCATGGGCACGGTGCTTGGGTTGGGGGTTTAGAGATTTTGTTGGTTGTTACTATGCAAAGTTTAGGTTCAGTATTTGGAAAGCCCTTCAGAGCATCCTTTCAAACACACGCACACACACTGGATGCAAGGCTGATAAGTTTGGGGCGAGTGCTACGCTCTTGCTGGGAGTTGCTTCTGTCGGAGTCAGCAGCTGCAGCACGTTTACTATCGCGAGTCGAGAAGGTGGTCACCAAGTTCGAACGGCTGCAAACGGGTAAAGAAGACTGCCGGCAGTGAATCGGCGACCCGAGTTGGTGCCTGCGATGGGTGTTAGTCTTTGGAGCCTGGCCCTGGATGACGAGATTTTGCCTGGGCCTGGCGAGCTCTCTTAGAAGCTGAGCCGTCCGAGATTGCATGTCTTGTGATGGAGCAGAACAACCCTAAACCCTAAACCCTAAACCCTAAACCGTCAGTTGCATGTATGAAATCTCAGCAGCAGCCCTGGGACTCCAGCCTTTGAGGTTCTCAAGTTCGCAAGCTGAGCCCCGCCGCCGCCGCCGCCCGCACCCCCCGTCCCCCCACTGTGAAGTTTTTTGTGTGCTTCAAGTTCGAAGGCACAAATCTGAGCCCTGCCCCCGTAACATTTTTTTCTTTGGGTTTCGAGTTTCGAGCGATTAGACTTTTAGACTTAAGGTTTTAGGATGTCTTCTATAGGAGCATGGTGTGATCCCGGTCTGAGAGTGAGGGGTTGCAATTCGGAATTTGCGATGGCCTGGCTGGCTTTGGCTTGACAATCGCTCATTATGTTACGACTGTTCTTGGAAGGCTTGAGTCTTTGCACCCTAAGGCCCCAATGTAGTTCCTTTTTAGGCCTCATATTTAGAATCCTATAAGGTCATCCCAAAAAGGAACTACTTTGGGGCCTATGAGGCTTTGAGCCTGTTGACCAGTGAAGAGGAAAGGAGTCTCCTAAGTGCGGATCCCCAAAGTATCCGATGCAGACGGTGAGAGTCCCTTGGCGTTGATGTGGGATGCGCGGACTGCATGTATTACTTAAAGGATCATGGGACTTAGTAATTGGGGTCTTAAGTAAGGTAAATACAGTTATAAGTACATATAGCCTTAATCCCTAAACCTTAAACCCTAAACCCTACTTACTAAGTTCCATGATCCTCCAAGTAGGTATCGGAGCACGTCTTCGCTCCCCCCCCTTTTGTTTCCAAAGCCGTATGAGAGGGTTTAGGGTTTAGGGCTTTAGGGTTTAAAGGGAACTCCAGAAAGTTGGAATATGGTTTCAGGGTAAGATACCCTATAATTTACCATAGAAGGGTAAGGATAACCATATTCCAACTTTCTGGCTTTTACCTTAGGGTCAAGGCCTAGCATGCCAGGAACATTCCTGAAGATGTCAGGCTCATGGCTGCGGGGGTTTTAGGTCTGGGGTTCATGCAGATTTTGGAGTTAAGGGCTGAGGGTTTCAGGAGGTTTAGAGTTTAGAGATTTGAGGCTAAAGTGTAAGCATGCTTTCTGTGTGTTAATGGCAGTGGGTCGCGGGCTTCGCGGCCATACTATCCGACTCTAAAACCCTTAGTTAAGAAATATGCAGTATCATCATATGGAGCACCCTCGACGATTTCTTTCTATTTGCACACCCGAAGCCCTGAACCCTAAACCCTGGGCTTCAATGCAGGTTCCGAGGCAAGTCACGAGAGCGCCTTTTTGTAAACGTTCCGCACAACCGCTGGGCCCTGAAGCCCAAGAATCCTGAACCCTAAACCCTAAACCCTAAACCCTAAACCCTAAACCCTAAACCCCTAAACCCCTAAACCCACAACCCTGCAACCGTAAAGCCCTGAACCCTAAACCCTAAACCCTAAACCCCTAAACCCACAACCCTGCAACCGTAAAGCCCTGAACCTCAACCCGAGACCCCACTCCCAAATCCAGGGCTACATCCAGCATTTCGGAATGCTCTCGGACGAATCTCGGCGTGCTTGAGTCTCCCACATGCCCTGGGCTTCTTCGGGTTAGACCCCTAAGCCCTAATCCCAAAACGAAAAAAGACCTCAACACTTAAGCCCTCAACCCTGAGCGAACATGCAATACCCCACTTAAACGTCCTGGAGACTTGCTAGCTGAGGTTATAGTGAGTAAGGTAACTGGACTTATCGTTTGTCATCGCCCCAGCTGTACTGACCAAGTCCCATGAACCCCTCCAAGCAAACTCTTAATCGCCTGAATTCCGAAGCGGAGGATCGCCTTTAGAGTTTCTGGAGAGGACTGTTGTGGCGTGGGAAGATAAACAGAAGGTAAGCATGGTGTACTTCGTCTTTGCCACCCTCTGATGCAGCAGAACAAGCATGCTTTACTTCGAGCTTTCGATACACGCCACAGCAGTCCTTTCTGTAGAGTTTATGGTTTTAGGATGCTTTAGGGACTGAACTTCAAGCCCAAACCGAACCTCTGAGCATCCAGGGACTGGGAGGGCGTGATGACAAGGTATGAAGTTGAGGTTAGGGGCTTAGCTTTCTTTTTGTTGGTTTTTCCAAGCCCTACTTTTTATGGCGGCAACTTACATGTCACGAGGTCTTTCTAGAATTCCCACACTGGAAATATGAAGACCCTGCGGCAGTGCATCCAACGAAGGCGGAACCGACTTGAGATAGCGTTGAAGCGAGCAGATGGTCACGGTGGCCTTCTTACTGGCGCAACTGCTCATAAGTTGCTAGAAGTTACATGGTGACAACATCGTCATGATGGCCATATGCTAATCCAACAAGTTTTTGATTGAATTTGGGGATGTCATGCCGCGAAACAAATCGTCCGCATAAAAAACTGGAGGTATTGATCAAGACTGTGCGCAGACTCAACAGTATATACAGTAGCGAGAATGAGCACGAACAACGGTCACTGTTTACGGTCTAAGGTCGGTCTAAGGTTCAGGGTTTAGGGGTTCAGGGTTCAGGGTTGTAGGCTGTACCTTAAGCCGGAATAACCTACCTTTTTAAGGACTTATATAAGGAAATCATAGTAAGGAACCTTAAAAAGGTAGGTTATTCCGGCTCAAGGTAGGTCTTACGGGTTCCCGATTCAATGCAGCAGTGCTGCTGTAGAGCCGCATGGCGCCGGCAGATCGAAGAAGCAGCACGAAACCCTGGAAGATGTCTAAGCCCCGTGCATATCCGTGTGTCCCAAGCTCTGCATAGAACCTTTATAGCACTTTTTCCTGTAATACCCCATCTAGGATGCCCAGTAGTACCCTTATTCCCTTTTTCTAGTCCAAGGTTCCTTATAAAGTTACCCAATACCAAAAAGAGGGGCCTTTTTATTCTTAGGTTCCTGGGTATCCTAGGAAGTCCTAAGCCCCAAGAGCAATCCCAGGAGCAGATGGCGATGTTCGACAACGAGTTTTTCAACCTTTCCGCAGACGAGGCCACAGGGCTTCAAGATAACGGTTGTCATAGGGTTTCATATTTTCTTTTAATAGTTATAGCGTTTTAAACGACGCTTTTTCGTGTCTCATAGGGTTTTATAGAGTTTTGCTAGGTTTCACAGGGTTTCGTAGGGTTTTGTAGGGTCTCGAGGGTTCGATAGGGTTTTACAACATCTCGCAGGGTTGTACAGGAGTTTTCCTTCGAAAGTACGAGGGAGCCTAAAAGGGCTCCCTCTGAAAACCTTTACGTGCGTCATGAGGGTTCTAGAATGGCTTTGATTCGGGCTTGGAGTTGAGGGCTTACGGCTTAAGGTTTAGGGTTTAGGGTGTAGGGCGGTTGTGTAGGGAATCGTGTTGCGCTGTTGTGCATGATAGAAGCCCAAGGGCCTCGTGAAGATAATGGTCTTAGTACGGGTGCAAAAGGGCAGGGCTACCCAACCCTAAACCCTAAACCCTAAACCTTCCACCCTAAACCCTAAACCCTAAACCCTAAACCTTCCACCCTAAACCCTAAACCCTAAACCCTAAACCCTAAACCCTAGACCTCAGGCCCTAGACCGTGAATCCCTAAACTCTAGACCCAAACCCTACAAGGGGTTAAGGACAGCTTTCTGGGCTTCTTCTGGCTTCGAGGCATGTGGGTGGTTGTCAAAATTAGGGTTCCTTTTTGGGTCCTTACTATAATCTGGGCTTTGGAGTACCATACTTTAATACTTTTTTTCTTAAAGGAACCCTTATGAAATAAAAGTTTATACTTTTTTCTCCCTGGTTACCTAAAAGCCCAGTAATACTGCACCTATTATCTAGGGTACCCCAAAAAGGGGGCCGAGGTCGAAAGCCTGATGTAGTCATGTGCAGAGTCTCGGGTTTAGGGTTTAGGGGTCTCGGGCTGAGGGAGCTTCAAAAAGTCTCTTAGAGGGATCTTTAGGGGCTTCAGGGTTTAGGGGTTAAGGGGTTCAAGGGGTTTAGGGTTTAAAGGTTTCAGGGTTTAGGGTAGAGGGCTCATGGTTTAAGGTTTAGAGTTTCCGTGTCTCTCTACAGGGGTTCATGAGCTCTGCCGACACCACATACCCCTGTAGACTCAGAGCGGGCTACCGGGTTACCATACCGCCCACAGTACTACAATTGCTACAGCCTGAAAAGCCTAAACCCCATACACCGCGAATGCTTGAGGCCCGATCCTGTAGACTCTTTACAGCTGAGAGCCGCGCACCCTGAGCCCATAAAGCTGGGTGACGCACGTGGACATCACGACAAGGATCCGTACGTCGAGCCGCAGAGGCAAAGCCTCTCTGCCTCCGCATAGTCCCCCAGTGAAGAATCCTTTCAACATCGGTGAGATGAAGGATCCTTGGCAGCCCTGCCCTATTAACTTCTCATCAAATCATTCAGACAAGATTCAAGCCTCGCCACTCCTGATCTCAGGAGTGCTCCTTGCTGATGAAGGACTCAGACTATAGTGACTACATCGACTGCACGGACGATGTGCACTGGGGACAGACCGAGGACGGCGGCGAAGCTCAAGCTGCGACTCCAGCCGACACTGCCGACACCAAGTCTCTGAACGCTTCGTGGTTCTGGGGACCAGAGTCGGTGTCGGGGCACACAAGCAAATCGGCTGTCCCTTGGCTTCTGCAATTTTGGGTTTGGTTTGGGTTGGGTTCGAGCAATAATCCCTTTGAGTCCTCAAGAAAGTGTACTGTAGCGTCCGATGCTGACGTTGTGCGCTATCGGTGGGGATCGTCTTTTCTCAGGGTGGTTGAGTATAGTAACCAAGCCCTCATGATGAAAGTCTCAAGCGATGGCTTGATAATGTTGGAATCTGATTAAGAAACCTTGGGCCCTTATTAGGGCTCCTCATATGAATCCTATTATTTTGAGGTTATAGGCCCAGGGTTTCTTAATCAGGTTCCTACATTGCCGTAAACCCTGAACCCCCATAGATCCCTTATGGGACCCCTTAAGGATCCCTTATAGAGCCCTTTGTAGGAACCCTTTAAAAAGGGAATCAGGTTCCTACATTATGGTCGACAGCATAAGGCGAAGTTCCCAAAAGCTTGAATCTCCAACCGCCAAAGCTTAACCGCCCAAGCCTTCAAAGCCACAAGCCCCAAATGCGAAGTCCTAAACCTGCAAGGGCCCTAAACGCCGACCCACAACTTCTAGCCCTAGAGTCTAGAGGTTCCGGAGCAAGGAATTCCTAGGTCTCCTGATTGTAGCTGAAGTATCGTTTACGACAACACCCTCTTCAAATTGCCAAGGCCCCTACCACAGAAACCATAAACCCAGCAGCGGGAGGTGAAGTTTCTGGATCCGGTCCAGCGGAACTGTCTGGAAGTGGGTGGGCCTGACGCGATTTCAGGGGCTTAGGGGTCCCCAGTTTTACCCTTTTGCCCGTGTTATCTTGGGGTCTCCTTATTATAACCGAACACACTAAGGAAATTGGTACCACTTATTATGAAAGGCCTATTGAGGAATCCAGGGTTTCCTGTCTTGTGCAGTATAACATCTTCTATGATGGTTACGGTCGGGGCTTATTGAGTCTTAGACTCTTACAGGGTTTTGTGATCGTTGTCTGCGGTTTGGGGTTAAGCGTCTGGGGCTTGGGGGTTCAGGATTTTGGATGGTTTAGGGCTTTCAGAGTCCGCTGTCCTAGTAGATTGGTGTCTTCAAGAACGTGCTAAGCATGCAGGCACTCGTCCCCGTGCATGGCTAGTCATAGCGAGCTTCCTGTCGCTGCATCCATCTTGCCAATAGCAGCACTCCGCACAAAAGCGGGCACCCCAAGTTTTCGCACATCGCCACAAGGCATGTCTTGTCATGATCACAGGTGACTACCTCAGCCTGAAAAAATCTGGTGTTTAGGGTTTACTTGGAGGTTCATGGGTAGTTCAAAATGGAGTTATAAGTCCCCAAATATGGGTTATGCGTATAGCTACCCTACTTATAACCCCACTTTCAACTCCATCTAAACCCTTAAAGGAACCCTTTAAAGGAACCCCTACAGGAACCCCATCACCCCACTTATAACTCCCCATGAACCTCCAAGTTCAAGTAGGGCTTAACATATTCCAGGTCCTGCACCCGAAGCCCTAAACCCTAAACCTCTAAACTTCAAACCCCTCAGCTCCGAATTCTACTATACCCATAAACCCCTAAACCCCTAAACCCCAAACCCCCTAAACCCCTAAACCACTAAACCCATAAACCCCTTAACCCCAAAGCCCCAAAACCCCAAAACCCTTAAACCCTGCACCCGTAAACCCCAAACCCTAACTAATTACTCTTTTGCGCCAGGTTACGACTGCCTTTTTCGAGCCGGCTGGACCAAAGAGTCGTTGCGGGGCGCAGAGATGCGTGAGCCTTATGAAAAAGGGGTTTAGGGCTTAGGGTTTGGGGTTTATAAGTGTTTAGGGTTTAGGGTTTGGGGTGTGTATACCGTGTGCGCCTAAACCCTAAAGCCTAAACTCCTAGACCCTCACGTGGGGTGGATGCGCCTTTCCGGGCGCACCCACAAATCGAGGGCTAGCAGCAGCGTGTAGTCCCTTTCGCTCACAACCCCACCCCCAAAACAATATATTTTGAGGGCTCCTTATGATTATGATTTCATTGTCTTCACTTGTCCGGGTGTCAGTTGTTTGGAGTCTAGCTTCAATCACATATTCTGCGGCGTACGGTTGAGCTTGGGAGAGTTAAGGCATCCGTGGTTTTGCGTCTGTGCTTTCTGTAAGGTTTGCTTTTGCAGTGCCTCGCTTTCAGCAGTTTGAGATTCAGTTGCCAAGCTTCAAAATCACAGTTTAGGGTGAATGTCTTGAAGTTTAGATCAGATAGGTCGGGCAGTCGGGGGTGCAGGCTTTGGGGTTCTGGGTTGGTGCGATTAAGGCTGTTTCGTGACCGTGAAGCTTTCGCATAAAGCACCGAAAGCACAGTCCTCAAACCCGGTAGGAAGCAGTCATGCAGCCCCCCCAGAAATTTTTGGCGGATCAGAAGCCTGAGTGATTACCAGTACGATTCCTTATTGATACTTATTCAATATTCTAAAGGTCCTGTAGCATACCCCAAGGCTTTATTCCAATTACGTCGCACGTCAAGTCTACATTGCGTGATTGCGAACTCTACGCTGAATTTGGTTCAATGCGCAGTCCCTGCTTCAAGGACTTTGTGGGCCCAGCACCCCAAACCCCAAACCCTAAACTCTAAACCCGAACCCTGACCTGGATCCCCCAACTACCCTCTACGATACCTGAAATAATCACTTTTAGGGACCAGAAGCGGTCGTGCAAATCCTCGGAACAACCTTTCCACGATTGGAAACTGACCTTGCAAGGCCACGCTTGCAAAGCTGCAGGCCCTAAGCCATATCTGAATGCTGAAAACCAGTTTCTCTAAACAACTGCATGAGACATCATAGCAGGAGGCTCTAAAATATAGCCTGTCTAATTTTCCGGTTTCCTGGTAAGCCTCGAAGCCCTGAGCCGCCACATCCGAAAGCTCAGGTGCACCTTAATTCAGGAATAGACCTTAAACTTTCGGGTGCTTCGTAGTATGATCTAGGCCATATTCCTTGATTGAGGTGTATGGCGCTCTCTGGGTACATCACCCTAAACCCTAAACCCTAAACCCCTAAACCCTGAAAGACCAGGTGCACCTCCTACGGCTATGCGTCCTCGGAGTACTCGAACATGGCCTTACGAGGCTTCTTAGGGTTTAGGGTTTAGGGCCAAAGGAGGAGTGGAGTTACAACCCTAAAACCCTCAACCCTAAACCCTAAACCCCTAAACCCCTAAACCCCTAAACCCTAAAACCCTCAACCCTAAAACCCTAAACCCTGAGTTACGGTCCTTGAAAGGTTCGATTAAGGCTTCTAGAAGGGTTCGGGGGGGCTTTTAGGGTTCAGGGCCCAGACCCCCGGGGAGGATCCAAAAAGCAGATCCCTTTATGGGGGTTCCTATAAGGTGCCCTTAGTAGTATAGGGCCCAGGGGTCTGGGTGTGTGATAGAATTGAAGCGATCGGTCTTTAGGGCCTCGGGTTTGGGGTGAAGTCCCTAACGGTTTAGGGTTATATAAGGGTTTCGGGTTTAACGGTTTAGGGTTTAGGGTGGGTTTAGGGTTTAGGGTTTAGGGGTTTAGGGTGAAGTCCCTTGTTTATGTCGTTTAAGGCTGACCGTAGTGGTGACTTGAGCTAGCGCCAACTGCGACTCGACTATCTCATTGGCAATGAGACGCAAGCAGCCGAGCTGCTCCATCTCAATGTGGGTTCAGGGTTCCCTAAACCCCAAACCCCCTGCGTAAGCCCTAAACCTTCTGAAGACTGCTCTCAGGGTTTAGGGTTCCGGGCTTGAGGATTTGAGGGGTCTGCGTAATGCTGGGCGCAGGGGGGGTGTCGGCCCGAAACAGCCCGACTAACACCTAGACCCTGACTCGTCATTTGGTGCAGGCCCTGTCTACGATGACACCGTATAGCACATTTAAGTCTACTTTTTTGACACCGAACCCTACTGTCTAACTATGAACAGGTCAGTTTGGCTATGACCAGAATGTGGTGTACCAAAATGCGCCCGCAGCTTGTGCCTTCGGCTCAGCCGCTCTTTCAGGTTCTTCCCCTCCCAGGGTCGCGTAAAGCATGAGCGCTGCGCAGTCAATTTTCGAGGTCTGACTACTTGATTATAAGATACCCCGTTCTGGTAGAGTCCAGTAGAAGTACATAACCGACGCCAGTATCGCTGTTGTGGCTCGCTGTTCCCCCTGTTAAGAGATCCTACAAAACCTCCATAACAACTCGTAGATGCCGTTGAAGTGGCCCGAGGCCCCTACCCTAAGGCCCCAAAGTAGTTCCTATTTTGGGGTTCGTATTTAGAACCCTAGAAGGTAATCCCAAAAAGGAACTACTTTGGGGCCTATGGGTATGTGGTTGGTTCTCTAAATGGGAGTTTCCGAAAACAGGGGACCCTAATGTAGTACCCCAAATAGTAGGATCCTTATTATAAGGGCCCCAAAATAAGGTATCCCTAATTTTCGGAAACTACCAAATCCTAAACCCTAAACCCTAAAACCCCTAAACCCTAAACCCCTTTATGGATCCCTTTTTAAAGGAACCCCTAAACCCCTATGTGGTTGGTTCTCCAAATTAGAGTCCCTTTTTGGGTCCCCGACATGGTACGGCACCCCTGTTTTTTAAAAAAGACTCTAAAAGCGGTCTTAATTTTGAGAACTGCCTGTATGTCATGGGACTTCGTATGCGAGCTATACACCGACTAATAAGTGGTCTGATGTGGTATTTCCGACTCATGTCCGCATTTGCAAGCTACTTATATAACAAGTCTCCTGATCCTTTCGGTATCCTAACCTTATTTTGCATACCTAACCATCAACAAACTCTTAGGATTCTAGCACTTCGGATTTGGGGTGCTTCTGAGGCTTCGGGCTCAGGATATGCTTCAGGATTGTGGCCATCGGGTTTAGCGTGTTTTTTTCGGATTGGGGGGGCTTGGGGGTTTAGGAGGTATTTTTTTCGATTCTGAAGCCTCGCATCTTTGATTGAACGTAAACAGCTGCCGATTAAAAACCTCCCTCCTAAAATGCGCAGGTGAAGCAGCTTAGGGTTGATAGGGTTCAGGGTTTAGGGTTGATGGGGTTCAGGGTTTAGGGTTGATAGGGTTCAGGGTTTAGGGTTGATAGGGTTCAGGGTTTAGGGTTCAGGGTTTAGGGTGGATAGGGTTTTGGGTTTAGGGTTCAGGGTTTAGGGTTAGTTTCATGTGAGTGAAGACGCTTTATTGATGTAGCGCGACAGATAAGTGTTATGCGCTTTGGTGCCTACACGAGCAATCACGATCACGACCGCAACGTCGCAGTAGTCGTCTCGCCCAGAGCAGCAGTAGCAACACTAGAGTAGCATCAGCGGCGGTAGCAACACTAGTTCGAGTGCGATGAAGCTTCACATAGTCTTATAGTGATAATACCGTTCATGGGAATGATCTCGCCTACAATTCATGATTTAGCTTTCCAGCCTCAACCCGAAATCTCTAAATCCTAGATCCCAAACCCTGAAACCCTTACCCCAAATCCTAAGCTCCGAAACCCTAATCTCCGAAACCCTTAAACCTTGAAATCTTTGAGAACCTTGGCAGCCGATTCACGAGGCCTCACGCATGCATTTCGTCTTCGGCATGCGAGGCCAGCGGGCAAAGAACAATTTTAGGGTTTCGGGTCTCGGGTAGAGGGTTTAGGGTTCCGATTTTTGGATTTTTTCGGTTTCGGGTTTAATTTATAGTTTCGCGTTTAGGGTTTAGGGTTTTAGAGGGTTTATTGGGGTTGCTTGTGGTCTGAATCACACACCTTGAGAACGGAGATCCCCTAAGAGGACCCAAGATGGCACGAGAACCATCCGAAGCGCGGCTTCTGGCTATAGTCTCCATTGCAGGTCCTTTTTGGGGTTTCACCACTTCTAGATTTAGTCGCACAAGGGAAACCCCAAAAATCGATTAACCGCAGAAAGAACTACATGGAGGCCGCAGGTATACCCGAGTTGAAGTAGCTTTACTTGCGTAGGATCTGTTCACGAGTAGCCCTTCCAAGTTAGGCTTAAGCCCTAAGCCTAAACCCTCATGCTAACTAGACTCAAAGATGGAGATGCGAAGCTTGAGCGAACTATCGAAAGTATCATAAGGAACCCCTACTCAGAGATTCATGGGTAGTTCTTAACTATAGTTATAACCCATATTAGGGGGACTTGTAATCCCATTTATAACTACCCATGAACCTTCAAGTATAGATCCCTTCAAGGCCCTGGACGCCATCCCTGCTAGGTCCTTGAGAGTGGGATTCGTAACGACGCTAGAGTGCATTTCTCTTCGGGATGTGGGCCAACTGGGCCGGAGAATCCTGCCCTCGGACCACCACAAGATGCCCAGGACCGAGAGTAGGCCCCTATTCCTTTTTTTGATGGTTAGTTTAGGTTCTCTTTTAACCCCCTTCAGACTTCAGGTCAAAAAGGGCACCCTTTTTATTCCTAGGTTTCTCTTGGAGAACCACTTTCCTATCTTTCTTAAAAGAACCATGATGAAACAAAAGTTGATACCTTTTTTCCCTGGTTACTTAAACGCCCAGCCACCACATGCAGATCAAGCGATATCGCATCAGTCATCAGCATTTTTCTAGAAGCATCAGCTCCAAATGCCTCACTGATGGAGGCTCAGTACCTCCACTCATACTGGACTGTGTTACTATAGAGGCCCTCATAACTTAATAATTACCTATACTATTTCTGGGGTTCCTTATTATAACTATAGTATAATGGGCCCCTATATTAGGTTTGTGATTGCATCCACCGGAGGAGAACTGCCAACGGATATACCAGCAGAGCTGTTTCCACTAACAGCACCGATTGCTGGCGGGGTTCCCATGCCCGCCATATCCATGTAGCCGTACAGTTGCTACCCTGCTCATACCGAGCAGAACTGCACCATCCCGTTTGGGGGCTGCACGCCCCGACATCGAACACCACTCCCGGACATCGCAAAACTGACCATGACATCCAAAGATAGCACCAAAACGACTTCATGACATCGAAAGATATATTGCCTGCAACCCTTTCCTACTATCGGACGTTGAAACTAGTTCATGACAGCGATCCTTCCGTCCGTCCGTGTCTGTCCCGTTCGTCTGTGCGTAGTGGGTTCTGGCTTCGGGCCCTCGGACTTGTTATGAAACCGACCCCAAGGGTCCAAAGGACCCAATAACTAGGTACTCGGTTTCAGGATAGTAGTTATGTAGGTTAGGATTTTGGAGAGTATATGGTTAATTAGGTACTTCTAAGCATGTCCATATCCAGGCTGGGGGTGGTTCAAATTTAGTAAGGGCGCGAGCCCGGGTGCCTGCCCAAGGCTACCCGGCAGGCCAGTCAAGTAACAGCCAGCGGCATCCCATATGTTGGGATATGACAAAGCTTTTGATTGTGTGCTATTTTTTTGGTTAGCACAACCGTATGGATTGGAACAGTTTTTTTTTATACATCAATTTTTTTGTTTCATCCACATATGGTTTGTGGCTGCTGGAGCTATGTGACAGTTGAAGTTGCGAGCATGATCAAGCATGTTGCCCTGCTTCGAACTCATGCTTGTGTGAGCATGCATGACGTGATTGGTTGGTTGTTTTGCAACGTCATGATTGTCGTCGTGCATTGACCAACTTGGTTCGTTGAGCTTGCGTGTGATGACTGGTTGAACATTTTGGTATGCCATGATCTGCACTGCACATGGACCAACTTGATTTGTTGAGCATGCATGCGATGGTTGGTTGATTGGTTGTTGCAGTGCAATCATGATGCTTGCTGCGCTTAGGCAATCTTGATGGTTGTCTGGAGAGTTTCTGATGGTTGCAGTGCATGGACAGGGCATGGACCATAGACTGTGCATGCATGCGATAACTGAACGGTTGTCTTGAAGCTGCCTCGCAATATCATGATGTTGACATGCATGGACCACTGTTCTTGCGTATTTGATGTGCTTGCGTTGCAGTGTCTTGCCGTGCGGGAAGCAGTGTGCAGAGCATGTTTTTGAGCTACTGCATTTCCAAATCTCCAAGCCTTGGATGCTCGAGCCGTGATAGTAATAGTGTTAATCACCAGAAGTCGCCTTCCTCAGCTGCCAGCTGCCATGCAGAAAGCCCAGACCGATGTGCAGAAAGCCGAAGCTCGGAGCAACGAAAATTCGATATCACAGAACACGACGACTTCATCCAAATCCATAGCCTCCATGAAGACGGCCAAGAACAACGAACAATCGATATCACCGACAACGACAACTCCCGTCAGGAAGCACAATTCAAAGGTCGTCATTGCCACTCCGCCGACAAGAACGCAGGTGACAACGCCGAAGGCACCCCCGAAGAGAAAGCGGCCGAGTCTGAGTATGGTGGAGGAAACAGAGAGTCCATTGCGAGCATTTCCAAAGTTAAAGAACTGATGATGTGTTTTGCTGGTTCACTCTGTACAGTCGACCGACGACACGCAACCAGATGCTGATGATGTGAGCTAAAGACCAGAAAGCCTGGTTTCCTGTTGATGCAGCTACTAAGTTGCATTGCTTCGCATTCTGCATGACAGTTGAATTGAACAGTTGAATACTTTGCGAACATTTATCAAGGGCTCATCTTATTATTATCTTGTTCGCTGCACAAAATGTAGTAATGCTGCCATAGCCACGACAGTATTTGCGTATCAATGCTTGATAATATTATCAATAATGATGATAGCAACACGTTGCCGTCACATTGCCTCACATTGCCTGATTATTGTAACATGTTGCCTTGAGCCGTGAGACTTGAACTACATGTCAATTGCTTAAATTGTCAGTGTTGATCGAGTAGAGTTGCCCTGAATTCGTGAGTTTGTTTGCTGCATGACCAATGGCAGAAGCAACCTGTCGGCTGTTGCGGCTGGCAAAGTTCTGCATGATTCGTGAGCATGTTGCACATGAGAACTCTCCATACGTGTTGGCGCTGCCGGAGCCAGAGCATCTTGACGAAATGCATATTTCTGTGCAGGGGTAAGGGCAGGTAAATGCATCGCTGGATAATGCGTTGGATGTGGGTGACTGATGTGGCTTGTTGACCTAGGTGGATTTCCTTCTTCGCGAGTCTTCATCATGGAGCACATTCAGCTTCCAAGAAGTACGGATTACAAACTTGGTCGAATCTCATACGTCAATGCCAGGACGGGTTAGCTGGTTAGCTTATGCTTGGCAGGTTGGTCGATTGAGTTCTGCTGCTGCTGTTACTGTTGTTGTTGGTAGTTGATCTAGTCGTAGTCGTCGATGCTACTTGCAGGAGAGCAAAGAAAACTACTACGGGATGGAAACCGCATTCTTGAAATCAGCTGGTGGTACTTCACTGTTCTCGGTTGTGATGATGCAGACTTGGCCAAAATTTGGGCAGAATCTTAAAGCACTCATTGACCGGGAGATCAACTCTAGGCTTGCCTCTGGTCAGAAGCCGTTGGAGTGTGATCACAACCAAGTACCGTGTGGAAGCTTGAAAAGATCTGCATCCGTTGCATCCTTGAAGCATTCTGCTTCGGGCAGTAGCTTGCCCAGTGTGGTGAGTGAGGCTGAGGGCAACAATCGCGATGCCGATGCCGAAGTCTCTGATGTGCCTGTATCATCACCGGCGCCGGCAGACTCACAAGAGAGCCAGATTATCGTGCATGGGAAACGATTGTCTTGGAAGAGGGATCTGGCGCCACACATAGACACGTGCCACAGAGGCTTCCTTGTCAAGCGGATCGGCGACCTTGAAAAGAAACTTACGCAGTCCAAACAGGATTTGGCCAAGGCGAAGCGTGAGAACAACAAATCCACGAAACAGTTGGCTAACCTGCAGCTGCAGATCCACACCAAGGAGCAGGCAGACGAACAAGTCCTCACTGTTCAGAAAACACCGAAAGGTGTCAGGTTCACTACACGGGGATACTTGGCAATGGGGATCAGGAAGGCTTTGGCGATCACATCTGCACTAGGGTTTCCCATGTCTGCACTCGTCGATGCTTCCCGGCAGACGGTTATCCGTTGCGAGGTGTGTGTGTGGAGTGTTCTTGTAGCTCGTACGGGGTGTTTCCACGAGATGGTAAAGCATCGGCTACGGGCACTGGCGACAATTTACGCATGCATGAACAAGGCTGCTGCCGAGCAGAAGGGTCGTTCCGACATCACCGCTACTCATGCATTGGTTTCAGCTATTCAGCAGACGAGTGGCTCAGAGTTGCACGATGACATATCGAGATTTGGTGAGGGAAACGTGGTTTCCAGCGATTTGGGTCTGGTTCCTAGCTTCGCAGATGGTGACACACCATTCTTATCATCCTCATCCGTACCAGATACAGTGTCTAGATGGTTCTGCACGGGATCTGGTGGCGGTGTTGCGTCGGAACAACTGGAGCGAGTCTTTTGCCTGGGTGGCACTGCGTTTGCGGGTGATGCTACGAACAGTGGTATTTGGCGGCGGAACAAACTGCAGGGGTTGCTGCTGACCTCTGCATGTATGACGGACTCTGTTAGCCTGTCACACCCCGCCGAGTACATGAAGGCCTTTGCATTTCACACCACAGTGATTCTCGTGCTGCATACACTAGCTGCTAGGGGTCACACAGGTCCAATCAATGTTCATTCATGTCAGTCTATTTCTATTTCTATTGGTTGTTGTTTCTTGCCACGTAAGCCATGGGCCGTGGGCCATGCATCCATGTGAGAATCCATGTGTGTGTGTGTGGTGTGTGTGCGTGTGTGTGCTTGTATATGTAGTTCTTGATTTGCTTGCATTGTCTGGAATCCTTGAGTGCTTGAGGCTTGCAGTGGTTGATCTGCCGGCATTGATTCGGACATGGAGCTTAAGTGACATGTTTGCCAGTCTCAGTCTCATCTGAGCTGAGGTGTGACCTGCAAGTCGTGAACTCTGGCACTGCAGCCAACAATCTGGCAATCGTCATGAAGCAACTTCGGACAGCCAAATGCCCAAACTGGGAAGAGTTGGCAGACATGTTCGAGCAACTTTCATTACATTAAGTAATCTTCAGTTTGTGTTTCTGTAACTTTGTTTTGAGTGAGCCAACGTCATCTTAACCATCTTGCCTAATGCTGCCTCTTAGGCGTGGTTTCTTGCCTCCGTGCTACATACACATTTGGTCTTTGGCAGGTGATTGCGGAACTGATCAGACAGGGATGAGGTCGTCACTTCGCACACTTCTTGACAAACCCAGGTACAGAAACCAGTGGATGTTTGAGCAGCCATGCTTGAAACACCAGTTGCACTTGATTGTCAAGGAGAGTGTCAGGTTGATTAACAAGCTTCTTGCAGCTCATGGCAGATCGTGGGGTTATTTTGGTGCTGTTGCGAAGATCTGTCACACTTGGCGTGCCCATGGTGTCAAGATCAGCAAGACATGGCAAGTGCTGATACCGAAGCCTTGGGAGTACAAGGGAGCCAGTCGTGTGCCGCCTCTTGCAGTTGCAGGGAGATGGGGATCAATTGATTGTTGCATGACCGCAAACTCTGCACTCATGTGTGTGTGTGTGTCGGTTGTGCATGAACATGTCGTTTGTGCAGTTGTTGACAATTGTTAGGACAACGTCGTGACCACGTGACCTAGGCTCTGAGGAGTTCTTGTTGACGGGGCCTCCGGACTTTGTGGTCAGAGTTTTCATGGCTACATTTGCAACTCGAGATTACCAGGACAGTGTTTTGGTTATATTACGGTTATAAGTTACTTGCGTTGCACTTACAGAAGTGGTTTCTAAGTGGATCGTAAGTGATGTATAAGTCCAACCTAAGTACAACAACGTTTTGCAAACTCCACTTTTTTCTGGCGGCTCTTGTTGTCTGCAAACGAGCTTTTCTAGAATAAACAGTCAATGTTGCTGCCTCGAACACGCCACCACGAAGGCAGTGTCAGCTTGTCAGAAGGTGAGACTCGGATGCACTTCTGGCCTGGTTCTTTGATGAAAACCGCCCCCCACGGTTTCTTGTGGAGCATCCGCAAAGGCGAAAGCAGCAACATGAACCCGTCGGCGTCTTGCAGACAGGCGTCTACGACTCCTTGTGTCGCGGACACCGCTCGGACAAGCCCATTCCTATCCTGGGAAGATATGCCGTACATCTGGCATGTCTACGCGGACATTGCGCTGACATCCAAAACCTTTAGCCGGACACCTTTCGCGGCCGGGCCCCGCGGACATTGGCAACCCCAGGTTTTGGAGACCCAGCGGTCAGCAGCTGTCTTTTCGGGCTTGGCCGATCCCAGCTGAGCTGGAGAAGAGCAGTGCAGGCTTCTTCACTGCAGGTCTGAGGATTTGAGGCTTTGGGTTAAAGGTTTATACGGCTTGAGGCTTGGGTGCGAGCTTGAAGCTTTTGTTCCTGGGCTTAAAGCTTCATGGTGCGATACAGCTTCTTTCCTCTATAGGCTTGCAGTGCAGCTTCAGCTCACCCAGCCCTCGCAGGGATCGCAGCCTGCTCTTCGCTGGACTCGCTAGGTTCTATGCCGAACACAAACCAGCGAAGATCCTCGCGTAGCCACCAGTGCACAGCCTGCAGAGCAACTCTGTCGCCTGGTGTCAGGAACTGCCACAGAACCTCGGCCGCTCCCGGCTCGCTTGCAACGAGGAAGAGATGCTGGTCATAGCGTTCCCTTGTGTCCTCCATGGCTTGAGACAAGTTTGAGCCCGAAGAGGAAGCTGCAAAAAAAACGAGCCACGAACACAACAGGAGTTCAAGATAGCATTTATCCTGTCTGCTCTTCCCATGCAACCCCCTTCCAGGGAAAGTTTATGTACGGGTCTATAGAACTGAAGAGGTTTAAGGGTTTAAGGGTGTGGGGTTTAGTCGGCTCTTCAGGGCAACCGAGGGTGTCAATGAGGTTTAGGAGTTTAGAGGGTTACGGCCTGGAGCGGGGCAGAAGCTTCGAGGTCGCACGTTTTTTTCTGCCAGCTCACAGCAGCAGTGCAAAAGTGCAAGCTACATCTACCATTGCTGCAGCTTGGCCGGCGTTCAGGGAAAAGCCTGGTTTAAGTGTGTATGGTTGTATACAAGGGCCCAAGGGAAGAGGTTGCTACCACCATAAAGGTTTAGGCTTTAGGGTTTAGGGTTTCTAAAGGGTTTCGGGTTTAAGGTTTAGGTTTGTTTGGGTTTAGGGCTTAGAAAGGGTTTAGTGTTTTGGGTTTAGGTTTTTGGTCTCTATATAGAAAGGATCAAGCCAGCACGGCCACACAAAGGATCAAAGAGGCACGGCCGCCTCAGCGAACATTGACAATGACCGTGCCGCGGCGTCCACGGTGGCGCCGCTCAGGAGTGCTGGAGCTCGTGCTGCGGCGCCTGCGTCTGCGCAGTGGGCTGGGGCTTGGCTCCACACCACACTCCGACGACTCCTCACGTCGTTTGCGCTCGCGCCTCGGGCCCGGCTTTTTCCGGGCCTTCGAAGCCTTATGCCCGGCCCGCAGGCCGCGCTTGGCGGGGCGGCCTGCCGCAGCAGACTTCTTCCCAGCACGCTTCGAGGCCTTGGCTGCCTGACGGCCAAGCTTAGCCCACCTGGGAACCAAGTCGGCCTTGGAGCCCTGGGCTTTGCTGGAGCGCGCCTCGTCTCCATGCTCCCTTGACCACCTGTCCTGCCGCTGCTGCCACATTTGCTCCGCCGCCTGTTGGGCCTGAGCCCAGTTCTTGGTCTTCTGGGCTGCATAGCACTGCATGGCCAAGCATTTTTTCGACCAAAGGCCATGCTGCTCGTAGCCACTTCTGTTGTTGAAGCGCTGGCCGCAGTGCTGGCAGCTAAAGACCTCGGCCTCTGCAGCCTTGGTCTTGCGGGCAGTCGAGGGCAGGCCCTCAGGCTCAGCTGGCTTGCGCAGGTCTGGTGCTGCAGAGGCTTCCGACCGGACGGGCGGGTCCTGCTCGCAGCTTTCCTCCTCCTCCTCCTCCTCGCAGGAAGAGGAAGAGGGCACCAGCTTTGCAGGTGGCAACTTCTTGGTCGAGCCCCGGTCTTTGGCTGCAACCTCCTGGGAGGCTCTTTTCTTTTCACATTCTTTTTTTTCTTTCTCCTTGGAGCCTTTCCTCTCCCTGTGGTGCCGGTCTCGGCTTCTTCCCCTGTGCTTCTCCTTGTCCTCCGCTTTCTTGTCGTCCTTCTCGGTCGCCATAACCTGTGGCAGGTTATTTGTATGGATATGTGCACATTCTATGTTTTATAGTATACTTGAAAAGATAAAGAGCAATAATAACTAATAACAACAAAAACAACAAGACTAGTACTAGCACAACTACTATAGTAACGCTATTGTTGTTATTATAAGGAGAAGAACAATCGTGGTAATATACAAAAAACATTATATAGGAGAGCAGCAGGCAAGCAAGGACATCGAGGTGTATAAAAAATGATAGACAAGTTCAAGCAGCAACAATAGCAGCAGCAACAACAACAACAAGAAGAAGATAAGAACAACAAGAATAGCAATAAGAAGAAGTAGCACATACGCACTATATGCGATAAAGGAAAGAAGACAGAAAGGTATAGCAAACTATATATATATATATATATATACATATGAGAAGAATAGAAAAAGATTGCTGTCATAACAATCTTTTGTTTATCATGACCCTGCTCCGGCAGCCACAGAGGCTCTGTATCATGGGCGGTGGCCGGTAGGCCAACGCACCCAGCACCACTCACGCTGCCCATGACGGCAGCCACACAGGCTCTGTATCATGGGCGGTGGCCGGTAGGCCAACACACCCAGTACCACTCACGCTGCCAAGCCCCGCAGGCTCTGAATGCACTGGGGCTCCTACACAGCCACGCAGGCTGCTGAGCCCCGCAGGCTCTGGATGCCCATGAGCCACGCAGGCTCCTGCAGCCACGCAGGCTGCTGAGCCCCGCAGGCTCTGAAAGCCACGCGGGCTGCTGAGCCCTGCAGGCTCTGAAAGCCACGCAGGCTGCTGAGCCACGCAGGCTCTGGAAGCCACGCAGGCTGCTGAGCCCCACAAGCTCGGTAAGCCACGCAGGCTGCTGAGCCACGCAGGCTCTGGATGCCGATGAGCCATCCAGGCTCCTGCAGCACCTGAAGCTGCTGAGCGTCTTCGCGCTCACGAGCCACGCAGGCTCCTGCAGCCACGCAGGCTGCAGAACAAACGAAAAAATAATTAAATACAGGAATATATAAACAAAGACATAGATAAATACATAAAGAAATAAAGTGTAAATAATTGTACTGAGAAACGTGCCTGGGCGACAGCTTCGGCGCCGCTCAGGGCTTTCGAGCAAAAAGGAGCTGCAGGAGAAAGTCGCATGTAGGATGAAGGAAAGCAGCAGAAGCAGGTCTGCTCTCGCATGCAAGCACAAACGTTTGGACCGACCTTTTTCTCAAAAGCAAAACTAGGAGGTTCCGTGATTGTTGTCGCCATGTGTGACATCTGCCGGAAGCCTGGGTATAAACAACCCGTCACAGAGAAGCCTTAGGCATCAAACTCCTGGGCTGCCACTCGCATGGCTTTGCGTGCAGCCTCTTTGGATTTCTCGGTATTCCCCGCAGTCTTGTGCATGGCAGCATGGAAAGCCTTGTGATAGGCACGAGACAGCACGCATTTGCGCGTCTGCGACAGCACATGGCCACCCGAACTTGCCGACTTCAAAGCTGCAGGGGCGGCCTGGGGCCTCTTCTTCGTTGCACTGCCAAGTTGGGAACCTGCAGGACGCTTTTTCGGTGCAGGAACCGCAGCAGCTGGTTTCTGGCGAAGGCCTTTCTTGGTTTGGCCCTTCTTCTTGCTTTCCGAACAGTGTCCTGACACCTGCCCTTGGGCAGACTGAGCAGGTGAAGGCTTGCCCTTCTGAGACGCCTTGCCTTGAGCGTCTACAAGCTGGTGAGCTCGTTGCAACAGTGAAGGCTGGGCAGCTTCTTGTTCTTCTTCTGTAGCTTGGGGCAAACCTGCCCTCAAGAAGTCTTCTGCAGCCTCGCCCCGGGGGGCGTCCTCCAGTGCCGGAAAAGCAGCAGCGCCTGGGCCTGCAGACTCGGGTGCAGGCAAAGCCAACGGGGCAGGCGTTTGCAAGTGTACCGCAGGCACAGCACCTGCCGCCGAAGAAGACCAACCCGAAACCTTGGGAACTGCAGGCAGCTGCCCCAACTGCATGATGCCACCCAACAGAGCAGAGCCCAGCCCCATCAACTGGGGAACAGCCGCTTCTTTCGCTGCCCCCGTCACTGCTTGCACTTCAGTATGCGTTTTTCGCAGTGGCACACGCTGCACCAAGGCCATGATGCCATTCACATGCATTTGCGGCACTGCATGTGCACCTTGTGGCAAAAGAGCTTGCTGAAGCCCGGCTGGAAGCTGGCCTGGGTTCTGGGGCAGGTGCACCATGAACGGATTCGGGTCTGCCGCTCCGCGCACGAGTCTTCGAAAGGCTGTCTTTGTGCTCTCCAGCGCAGAATGCAGCTGAAAGCTGTTCACGAACTGCCCGGTACCGCGATATTGTTCCATGGCTGTAAGCAAAGCCATGGTTCGCTCTGAGGGGCACCGCAGACCCAAGCCGACAGCAAATTCCAAGATCGCGGTGCGCCGCTCCTCTTGCTGGCAATTTGGCGAGGAAAGCAGCGAATACAGATCCTCAGGAATAAAGTTCAAGATGCCTGTGAAATCTTGAGTCGGCCGTCTAGGCTGCGCGGCCATTGCTGCACACAAGGTATATACAAGGAAACTATACCTGCGTCCCTGCCGAGCATACAAAAACTGCGAGCTCTGCAATCTAAACCCTATATAGCCTATAGCCCTAAATATAGAAGCCAGTCTGCGTATATATATATATATAATCAATTCATGTAAATTCTCTAAAACATAAGTCCAACATAAGTCCAACACAAGTCCGACCTATGTCCAACACGCAAAATGCACAACTAGGATATATGTCCAACCCAAGTGCTACAAAAACAGACCCACTTATAACTTAGTTATAACCCACTTACCTCACTTATAACTTATTCATACCCCAGCTATAACCTAACCATAACCAAAACACTGTCCTGGTACAACGACAAAGCCGCAGAAGCCAACAATCCAGAACAAGCCGTGCTAGCTGCAATCGCTGAGTGTGATGACGAGCTTGGCATGGAAGAGGCTCAGGAATACAGGCAAAAAGTCACGAAGTGGATTCGTGGTTCGCTGCAGTGTATTCAAGACAGTCTGTTTTGGTTTGTCATGGCAGCTGCGTACAAAACACGCGAACCGGTGCGGCACATGTTCGGTATACTCTCCAAGTACGGAAAGGCTGCATCGGCAAGAGTGAAGTCACCTCATTCCCAGCCATGCCCGTGCGATGATTTACCAATTGTTGATTTCGTAACAAGGCGGCTGCAACAAATCGATGCTGAGTTCATCGCGCTCCGGACAGGGATCACAGCATGGACCAAACAAACAATAGAAAACCTGAAGGGTATGATATGCTGGAACAACGAGAACGCTGTCAGCCCTGAAGAGCTGGAGGCCTTCGCACTCAAGCTGCTGTTGTTAAACCATGCATCATTTCAGCGGCGAATCGTTTCTTTGTTTTCGAAGCCACTTGTTTGCAGATCTGGACTGATTTGATGACGTTGGTTTTGTATTTGTATTTGGTTCTAGCTCTAGCTGATTAATTAACTTGTTCAGTGAAATCTGGAGTGGTACCGCGTGCGTGGCAGTGCAGTGCAACGGGATGTGTGTTACGAAGTTGAAGCAAATGCTGTCCGAGGTGGCCATTTCGTTTGTTCTGGTTCCTCAAAGGTGAGCCCACGCAAGCTTGTGATGTGCGCCGAGGTGGGGCCGTCAACACACCATGCAAAACAATCCTGATGTTTGGCTTGTGCTGGCTTGTGCTGCTTGTTCAAATGGGGATCCTGTGTCGCGTTATGCTAGTGTGTGTGTGTGTGTGTCAATGCGGCGTGCCAGGCGTAGCTCGTGAACTGCTCGACGCAGACATTTCTTCCTTGGAGTCGACAACAAGGAAATTCAGGGAAACCTGCTTGGTGGAATTGCAGGCAACAGCTGTGACCGGTTGCATACGATTAGATGGACGAATTCGGGGATGCCTCATTCTGGCTGCTGGACTCATACGACTGGATATCCAGGAATTAGAAGGACTAAACAGCATGGTGAAGGTTGCAGTAGCCCGCAGCAACAACAACAGAATCACCCTCGAATTGTTGACAGCGCGTGTCTGCACGCGAAAGGTATTGGCGTTGCACACGGACGGGGCAATACGCTACAAGAGTGTGATTCCTTGTGCAGCCTCATTGGCCCGCAGTGCCTACTTGCACTACGGCAATCACGTTGATCTCCTCAGAGACACATCTCGCTGGGAGACTTGCCGTGACGGTAACCTGCATGCAGGCGACCCTACCATCTACAATCCGGCTTTGCAAACAACTGCAAAACACAAATGGGCAATGAAATACAACAGTCAGCTGATGAAGCGTTTGCGAGCCCACGACAAGGACAGATTGCGACTGAAAGACAGTGTTCTCTCGTTGGTGCTGCCTGGCCCGGCATCACAGGTTGATGCTGAGGACGGTGACAATCCAGCATCAGAGGTTTGGATCTGTTGTGGAGTCACACGATCGCAGACCATGATGCTGAACCTTGATTCGGGAAAGTTCATGCTGTCGGTTGCCCTGATTGCGTCCCTGTACAACCATGTGGAATCGGCTGGGAAAAACATCAAGCTCAAGCTGCACACACAGGTGCTGAAGCCATCAGGGGGGATGTTGAGGCAGCGCAACGAAGCCAGCTTGTTGTGTGAACTTCGGGGGCGTTACAAGCGTGAAGCTGTGTCTCGGGATGCAGCAGGTGTACTTGCAGATGGGGATGGTGAAGAGGAGGACATGTCTGGGGAAGATGATGAAGAAGTTCGACAGGTGGGTGACCTACAGAACATGAGCAAGGATGATGAGTTCAAAATGCTCATGGGTTGGGAAGATGAACTTTCCAACGATGATTGCGAACCAGGTAATGTCGATGACACATGCCTCGACGTATGCAGCGAAGATGAACACATGTCTGAGGTAGAGTCTCTTAATGTCAAGATGGCGATCTCAGCAGCCAACCAACAACCTGAGGCGGACTTTGAAGCTTGCACGGATCGTATTGCTGAGGATTGCGACTGCTTGAAGAGTACAAGTTTCTCGACACTGTCGCCAGTGGAAGCAGAAACCGAAGCATACCTACAAGAAATACTGCTGAGTAGGCACCATATGCATGCTGAGCAGGGTGACGATGCACCAGTGCCAACATCAAGTGCACCACCAAAGGATGCTGTGTCCGACCGCCGTCATGATTCCTTCAGACCTCTGTTCAAACCAGCGGCTTCAGCTGTGGATGATTTCAGAGCAGCGTGGAGACAGTGTTTTCAAGATGCGTGTAAAGCTTTGCAGCACATGCATGAGAACTCGAAGCGACAGCCGGGGGACAATGGTAGCTTGGATGCAATCTTGTGCTGCTAATTGCTTGTTTGTTCGGCTTGTTGCATGATTGTGCATGGTCATACACTCATACACTCGACATGCTGCTGAGGAGAGTTGTCTTTGATGATGGAAGAAGATAATGGTTCCTTGAATGTGATCTTGGTGCAGTGGACCAAACAAAACTTGGCAAAAGGCAGGTTGGTTGAGCTTGATGAAAACAACTGCCTGATTTGCCCCATGAACTTTGTACCGGCACGTGCTTTCCCACAGAAGCATATTCTGATTCCATGTGTTGGTGAAGGAGTTCGGAAAGTTCGCAAGTCAGACCGTCCAGCACTGCCATCATGTCCTTTGAGAATCATGCATATGTTTGCGACGGCCATACACCATCACAGTGCCAGTGAGCGTTATATTTCCTTCGAGGATGACGGTGCGTCAGCATGCAAGATTTGCAGCGTTGCCACATCTGATGTCTTGACATGTGCATGTTGTTTGCAGTCAGTGCACCGAGCTTGCTGCAGCATGCTTTGTGACAGTGATGCGACCGGTGGGAAGTCATGGTTGCACGTTGATCAGCGCCTCACGCCGGACATGATGCCAAACATGTTTCTGGCGCCATCTGATCACGCCACGCTGGCATCCTCGTCCTCCTCTTCTTCGTCGTCAGCGGGTCCCAATCCTTCTCCTTGGACATCGTCAGTTGACTGCAACAGAAGCATCAGTAATTGCAACGGTGTAATGCTCGAGTGCTGTGTGCTGGGAGCAGGGCTGTTCTTCTTGTTTGTGTGCCTATGAACAGTTGCTTTGAGGTTGCTCGGACTCTTGAAGCAGACTGAGACCAAGACATGCATCCCGCGACTGCAGCAGTCACCTGTGCTCTGTGCTTGTTGCAAGCATGCCATTGCATCGAAACTTGGGCTGTTTGGTTGATTGATGGTTGCTGATGTTAACGGCTTCAGTGACACGGGTATGTTTTGAGATGTTGCATGTTCGGCAAGTCACACAATCTTCCGTTGCAGTTTGCTCTATGCGTACGAACACTTCACCTTGGACCAAGGATCCTTGCACCCGAGCAATAGCCGCTGGTACTTCACCCTGAGCCGGGCACTTGGATTCGAAACATATTGGTCACATTGGAGGGTTCATTCAGGTCAGGGCATTCCGATACTGTGGCGGTGTGGGGTGGGAATCTGTGCTTCTAAGCACCGAAGTGTCCGGCAGCAGTGCAAGCTTTAATGCAACAGCTCGTGGCAGCATAGCTTGATGAACGCTGTGCCAGAGTCAATCAAAAAAAGGTGCAAATGTGTTACCCAGGGGTTGGATTTGCTGGTGGTCTGTTCAATAGAGAGTGTCTGTCCTTGCGTCAAGAATCGTGACAGAAGTCTCGAGACCTATTCGGTCCTTAGAACTGTGAAGCCCACATCGACACTCTACTATCGTTCCAACGCTTCGGGACGGTTCCGGACGGTTTGGGGCTGTTTCTGAACAGGGTTCTGACTGACAGCTCCTGAAACTTGCCTGATGGTTCCAAAGCCCCTGAAACAACCTGCCGCATTTCAACCCAGGGGTCCTTATTAAGGGTTCCTCCTGTATTCTGTCCTGCAATCTTTAAACACCACACCCTACAACACTAAGCCCTAAACTCCTCGCGCCCAGGTCGGACATCTTCCACTGGAGTTTGTGAGCAAGATCATTCCGCACCGTGGGTGTTGCTTGGCTTGTCGAAGTTGTGACAGTTGTGAAGTTGCTTTGTAACCACAGAGTGCCTGAGCTGAGCTGCTTGAGCATGAGTCTGCATGAGTCTGCATGAACAGTGATGTGATGACATCTGACAGTTCCGATTGCGTTTGTTCCAGGCAGTGTAGCACAGCAATGCAGCAACAATACATGCGGCATGCGGTCATGCGGACACGAGTGGTCACATGTGTGTTGTGAGAAGTTGTGAGTTGTTGTGAAGCTGTGAAGTTGAATGCTGCCTCAATACTTGCGTTGGTTACTTGCGTTGTCACTGTTTTGCTTCACGTGAATCCGTGAAGCCGGCCATGCCACCGGTGCCGAAAGAGAAACCGGCGACGGCGTCTACGACAACCAAGCTGCCAGCCTCGAAGCCGATGCCCAAGCAGCCCACTCCGCCTGCGCATCCACCGCCAGGTAGAGCTGCGGGCCCTCCGGCCAAGTCGCGGTCTGCAGATGATCGGTCGCGAACCCCAAAGCCACGTAATGCCAAGGAAGGCAAGGCGGCACCTGCCAAGGAGCCCAGTGTCAGAGCACCACCGTCACCTTCACCGCCTCCTCCGCGACCTCCTCCGCCGCCCAAGCAGCCGCCTTCTGAGCAGATAGCACCTCCTACACCTCCGCCAGTCCCACCCCCGCCACTTCCGCCACCTCCTCCGCCAGGATCAGACGCAGCAGCACGGCCGTTGACACCCCCTGCAGCAAATGCAGCACATCCAGCACGAGCACCTGTGCCAGAGCACATACCAAAGGCAGCAGTGCCACGAGCACCCTCCCTGCCGCGAACAGCACCGATTCCCAAACAATCTGTTGCTGGTGCAGGGATCGGCAATCCAGGGCCAAGGCCAAGGCCCAACATGGGCCAGCCATTCCCGCCACAGCCGCCGCAGCAAGGACCAGCACCGACCTGGATGCCTGCTCAGCTTCCTCCGCTGTTTCAGCTCCTGCAACTTCCGTGGCAAGTAACGATAAACCTGCAACCGCCCCCCTTCGTTGCTCATGCTCAGCCTCATGCTCCGACTGCGGGGTATATGGGGCCGAGGGCTCCACCGCCGCCCGGGCCGCCTGCGCCGGGTCCGCGACCGTCTGGGTCGCCGACTTCTCCGGCGGCGGAGGAGAACAACGACACTTCAGTCGGTGTTTTAAGCATTCAGATTTAGTTTCCATTTCCGTAATTTCATAAACCACACATACAGAGGTCGATGCCGGTTGCAAGGGCGTTGTTTAGGAATTATATAATCTTAGTTGTTGTGAGGTTGTTGTGGGTTGTTATAAGAAAAATATAAGGTGTTATAAACAAACCAAGGACGGTGAAGCCGATGGAACAGATGATGAGAATGAGTCTCCAGGCGGCAAGAGTGATGGCGATGGCGGCGATGGCAATGAGCGTAACGGTCCAGGCCCGGACGAAGCTGCTGAAGATCCGGACAGTGAGGAGCTGGAGAAGGATGATGAGGCCGCCAGCGGTGGTCCTGACGAGCGGGACATGGAGGAAGAGATCGAGGCCGCGTTTGGGGAGGCTTCGAATGAGATGCCACCGCCGAACTTTTCCAGGCCGCCACAGCCGTACAGGCCAGGGTCCATGCCATGCATGTGTTGCTTTGTTCGACAGCCAGTTTGTTGGCTTGCTATTGCTGTTGCAGCATGTTACGATTGTTGTGTTCCAGCTGATGTGATGCTTGATCATGATGAGTGCATGTCTCCACGAGCGCTTCTTATTTGAGTTCATTATGTTCCAAGTGACAAGCATCGCCTCATGCATCATGATGAGTGCATGTCTTGACTTGGCGTTCGTCCGTTGAGTTCACTCTGAAGTGCAGTCCAGCATGTTTGAGCAGGTCCGTTGGCGAAGAAGATTTCGGATTTGATCCGTTTGCGGACATTGGCGGCCCTACGTACGAGGAGCTCTTTGGAGAGGCCAGAGATGGTGGGCCAGCTGTGGAAGAGCAGCCGACGAGGTCAACTAGGCCAAGGGCGGAAGCTGAGGCTGAGACGAGCTCAAGACCGACTCCGATAAGCAGTGCCGATAGAGCAAATCTCTTGAACGATGTGCCTCTGCAGGTGAGGAAGCGCTCGGCACGCAACAAGCCGTCGTGAGCTGTCGCGCACAAGGCTATATGAGGATGGAAAACATTGTGCGTTGTGCGAGACGACAGCTGTGTGCATGGGTTGATTCAACTGATTGATTGCCTGATTGTTGACTGAACGGTTGATTCCTTCCTGTGGGCACACACGTGACGTGACTTAATCAACTGTGGTGTAACCAGCGCACTGTGGATATGAGTGCTTGCTCAACCCAGGCTCACAGTGGTGGACGGCTTCGATGCTTGGTGCAGTTCAGATAACCACTGCTCAAACACATGTGAACGCTGTGAACGCTTGTGCCGCTGACGTGTGCGTGTATGCATCACTGCACCACACCACACTCTCAACATGACACGACGCAATAGATTTCAGTGAGAGTCAATGCTTTATCTGAGGTCGATGGTGCACACCGAGGTCACAGTCTCTTGCTTGCACTTACCGGGACGACTATGCTCTCGACACTAACACTTCATCAGGCGTTGCTGGCTTGATGCATTGTGTTGCTGAACATTGGCTTGATCTGCTTGATCTGTGATTGCAAAGTTGTCAGCATGTGTGTGAGTTATTGAGCTGCTTGATCTTTTGACCGCATGACATGTTGCACAGTCATGCATTGCAGTGGATTGATCATGCATTGTGTTGCTGAACATTGGCTTGATCTGCTTGATCTGTGATTGCAAAGTTGTCAGCATGTGCGTGAGTTATTGAGCTGCTTGATCTTTTGACCGCATGACATGTTGCACAGTCATGCATTGCAGTGGATTGATCATGTTGTTGTTTATTAATTATACAACTAATGCTATGTAATAAAAAGTCCATGTATTTTATTTGTTGTTAGTAGGGGTGCCCGGTGCCTTTGGCCCTCCCGAGGCCTCGGGCACCCACCCACGAGGCCTCCCGCTCGGGCGCCCGCGCCCCGCCCGGGCGCGCCCGAGCCTCGGCCCTGGCCGGGCGCGCGCCCGAGCCCTTGGGCGCCCCGCCCAGGCCGGTGCCCCGCCCAAAACCTCGAGGGCCTGGCGCACCCCCCCATCAGAGGGCGCCCCGCCCAAGGCCTCGGGCGCCCCTCCCGAGGCTTTGGCCCTGCCCGAGGCCTCGGCGCCGTGCGAGGGCCTCGGGCGCCCCCCGCCCAAGGGCTCGGGCGCTTTGCCCGGACCAAACTGTAGCGTGAGTCAGTCGAACTGTTGAAAATTTGCTGTACTAGAATAATGCCATCCCATCCCAGCCCTTTGTTGTGACTCGAGGACATTGCGATGGATGCTCTTGACATTGCTGTGGACAGTTCTGCTCATGCTCCGAGTGACGACTGCCCGGTGCATACATCTTCACAGTCTGCATCTGTGTGTGTCGAAACATTGGCTGATGCATTCAGTTGCTGGTTTGAATATTGTAAGCATCGGTATCTAGCCGTGGAGTTAACGGTTAAACTGTGTGCAGCTCTAGCGTTGCTCAGGCTGGCCATCAGATGTGTTTCGTCGATTGTCACAGAACAAGGGGCTTTGTAATGACAACCTCCAGGGGCTGCTACCTAACTCCAGCGACTACATCTATACAGATACATCGGCCGAACGTATTGCACAAGTGCTTGGAACAGATGTCGGCACATCATTGTCCTTGATGGGTTTGTTCAAGAAGGTGGAGCTAGCATCAATGAGCACATCATATTCTGGAATCGATGCACCAGGTGTATCAGTGATGAGCATCCTTGCATATGCCCAAGAGGAGTTGGACTTGACTGTGAACCATCCAGAACATGTTTTTGCAATAGAATGGAACCATCATTGCCAACAAGAGCTGCTTGAACACCCAGCTTGCCCGTCTTGCCTATTTGGCGATCTGGAAGAGTTTCTCTGTCCGTTGCTACGAGGTCAGCTACCTGAGTTGCTAAGATCACAGAAGTTGCAGTCAGTTCTGGAGCCTGTCATCATGGGTCAACCGTCCAAAGCTGTTGCAACGTGCCTCAGCTTGTATGCAGGAATCACGCAGTTTGTCACAATTGCTCACATGCTGGACTGCTGCACTGGAACTGTGGGGCTGTGGGGTGTGTGTGCTGGTTGCTTGGCATTTCTAAGGACAGCGTGGTGCCTGAAGCATGAGCGACAATGCAGCTTGCGAACTGCATGCACACACGTTGCAGGAACAAGCTGCACAGATTTCTCGATCATAGGTAAGTGCGAAAGAGAGCTAGGTGCCACATACAGTCATTTTCTCATTTGGGTTGCGCATCGTAAGATCTTGCAAGAACCTGTGCTTGTGCAAGAGAACGTTACGTCCTTTCCGCGGGAGACATTGCAGCGCTTGCTCCCTGAATACGAGTGGACCTTTGGAGTTGTCAGCCCGGACTTCTTGGGCTGGCCGATCCGACGTGATCGACAATGGTGTGTGTGTGGGGCCGAGTCATTGATTCATTGGATAGTCAACAGTCTGACCACGAGTGCTGTCTTGCCTTTGCTGCATGTTGATCATGTTGATTGATATTGATCATTGTCATGAAATTGCAATGTTTGTGCATGTTGGTGAATTGGTGAGCACTTCCTTCCTCAGGGGGCGCCATCGGGTCAAGACGATTGGTTTCAGATCATTGCTGTCACCGTTTGTTGGTATGTTCCAGCGAGCATTGGCACCTGGTGCTTCGTGGGACATGTTCTTCATGGAGCAGTTCGTTTGCAAATTCATGATTCTTATAACCATATCATATGTTCTATCCGTACATATTCATACAGTGTATAAGATTTTTAAGTTGTGTAGCAGTGGGATCGGTGGGGTGTTTGCTGCTGACAGAAAGGACAGACTCCAACGCGCTTCAGAAGGAGCTGGACTGGGCATCCAATCGACCGTGCAGCTTAAGGAATTCATCGGCAACACCATCGGTAACCGAAGACGATGCTTTTGAGTCATGCTTGACAGAAAGTGAGCTGCAATTCCTGAAAGGTTACGAATCAGCTCTTCCCGGTGGTTTATGCTCCTTAAACCAGAATCCAGAGGTGACATGTGTTGGGGTAGCTGCCAACACCCAGGCCGGGCGCTTGACCTGGTACTGTTTTATTTTTGCAGTCTGACAGACTGACATATGAACCTTTGCTGTGAATCTTTGCTGTCAGGTCATGCGAACTCTCATTGCATCCTGTTCGCTGTGGTACTCACAACGACGACGTCGGTGGTTGTCTATGAGAGAACTTCCCGTGTTGCAGGGTTTCCCAGTATTCAAACACTTGTCGTATGGCAGGCCATGCTGCTCCTTTGCAGTAGGAGACAAAGACTTGCACGACTGGCCAGCAAGAAGTGCTTTGTGCCGAATGTGTGGTAACTCCATGCACATCAATGTTTGTGGAATCGTGATGCTATTCGCTTGGTCTCAAATCGAGATGGACATTGACTTGTTCAAGATGATCCGTATGACCAGTGCCGCGCACCACAGAACACGCACCGTGATAAAACACGCCATCAGATGTGATGCCGAGTCTGTGGCTTCCGCCGCGAGCTTATCATGTACACCTTCAGCGAGTTAGATGTTTGCACAGGCTGTCTGAGTTATATTCATAACAATTGTTTGGTGGTCCGGCTGCTGGCTGATGCACTTGATGCACCCTTGCACATACTTTACATACTTTTATAACATAGTGACGGTAGTGTGTGTCATGCTGTGCTGTCAGCCAGCTTGTGTGATGAGTTTGGAAGTTGCATGCTACGCATCAGCCAGGCCACGCTCCGAATGTGTTTCATGCTGGCAAGCAGCAACTCAACACATTCCCTTTTGTCATGATGAAGCCAGTTCCGGATGTTTCGGATGCAAAGAGTTGTTGGCAATCATGCATTGATGCATTGTCGCCTTGCTTGTTGCACATGGGTGAAGCGGAGAGTGCACCTTGATGACTTGTGTGTGTGTGTGTGTGTGTGTCATGTGTCATGTCTGCCACCTTCTCCTACTACTTCTTGAATTGGTTGCACATGTGGCTCGAGCAGTTCTTGTGCTTTGCACGTTGCATCAGCATTGATTCGGCATCGATTTCCTTGAGACTTGCCACTCACCATGGCTCTTTCGAAGATGCCACAGATGCCCAAGGATAAAAGCGGAGTTCCAGCAGTCGGGAAGAGTGGTGCGAGTGACGCACCGGCTGTGGTACTGAACAAGAGCATGATGTTTGATCAGAGTGCCACACTGACTGACATCTTTGGTGCACAGATGACTCCCGGACTAGGTTTGGTTGACGAGATCATCAAAGCTTACAAGGTCCGTCATTTCATTAGTTTCATTTGTGGAATAGATACAGACACAATCGGCTTTCCACTAAGAGAAAACACTAAATTCACTAGAACGTCCACACACACATATGATATGTGTGGTTTCATCAGATAATTTTAACCAACTACTGCAGGTGCCCACCATCCGGAAGGTTCAGTTCTTTGCCTCAGAGGTCGACACCGACGCCTCACAACGAATGATCCTCCGACACCCGTTAAACGGACGCCGTCAAGACCAGGTGCTCAACGAGTACGTGAAAAGTGTGCAAATGCGCGGAATAGTTCCAGGCGTCAGGGGACAGGCCTGGTTGCTTGCACCCGACGGGGAGAAGAATCATCACGCTTACCTTGCTCTGACGTTCGCGACGCTGTGTCCTGGCGCCAGAATCAGCAACAACACCACAACAGCAGCCGCGGCCAGCATCACCATACACATCAACACCAACACCTGGACCAATACCACCAACACAAAGAACAACAACATCAGCCAACCTCAACAACAACACAAACACCAAAAGCAGTATCAGCTGAACCAACATCACCACTAACATCATCCTGGTCCTGCATCCCAAGGTCAGAGGCATTTTACGAAGCGTGGGGACGTGCAGACAGGGCCTCACACCCGAACTTGGCTTTGACATTCAAAGCCGGATTGGATGCGGTGGTGTTTGACTCCAGGACTCCTCCCGCCGTACTGGAATTTCTCATCACCTATCACAACCAGTTTCATCAGGGCTCTAAGACCTCATGGTTAGAAATGATCTTGAAGATTCCAGACGCATCTCGGCCAATTGCTACTACACTATACTACCACTACTACTACTACTACTACTACTACTACTACTACTACTACTACTACTACTACTACTACTACTACTACTACTACTACTACTACTACTACGTATGATGCTCAGGTAGAACGCTCATTCGCGTCCTACAAAGTCGCCCACGGGATCACTGCCCGTATGTCCGACTACGAATCCAAATATAGAGAGTTCATTTCTTCGCAGTGGCCTGAAGTTTGGTCGTCATACCGTGCATTCGAGACGACAAGAGTCGTGTACAACCACTTAACGCGGCACCATGTGCTAGACTCCATCAAAGAGGTCGCACAACGCTGGTGCGAATTCTTGCACCCGCAGCTGTCTCACGAAGATGTCGTGGCCACGATCAAAGAGTTGCTGAGCGGGTGCGGCTCATTTTTCAGTGCGATGACAGAACAAGAACAACAGGCAATCGTTTTGGAGATGGTGTTTGCAGCGGCCCTTCAGCTGAAAGTGGTGTTTGCCAACACGTTGTACTTTCGCGTGGTGCCACATTGACAATGACAACATATGTTGTTGAGTACTGCTAGTATTGGCATGCGTGTCATGTTCATAGTCTTTTCTCAGTTGTGAGTGTGTCGTTGCCAGCTGCAGTTGCGATGGCTTGCAATTGCTTACTCGTGAACGCTTTGCTTGATTGATTAGATTGGCTGATCTGTGCACGTGCATGTGTCCTTGCTGCGTGTGGGGCCGGGCTTATGTTGCATGCTTGTGCATGTGTGTTTGTCTACGATGATGGTGTAAAGGTGATGAGTCGGTGATGAAGGTCATGGTGATGATGATGGCGCTGATGATGGTGATGACGAACATGGTGATGATGATGGTGATGATGATGAAGATGTTGCTGACTGATAACGATGACAGTGACACTGATGATGACGACTTGATGCTGGTTCGATGACTGAACACGGAGTCGTGGGGTGGGTGTGGATGAGGGGGATGGCATTGCTATTGAGGGTACTTCCTGGGCTATTGCAGTCACAGTCACAGAATAACACTTTAAAATATCTTGCTTGTCCCGAGCACGTGGCGGCAACAACAGTGTCTTCGTGAGACACCGTATATCCAGACATTGACATAAACTCAACATATGTAAAATGTTAAGTTAAGTTCATATTCATATATGCTGTATGAGCTAAATTGAAATTACTTTTCTTGGACGTTCGATTTTTGTGAATGAGTCACTGCGTTTAATGTTAGTTTAATTGTATATAGTAGATATCTATATATTGTAACATACATTCATAAGTCTAGGTTTCTGTATTGCATTGGACAGTTGTCCCGTCACTGCATAGGCATGTCATCACTCCTTCGCCGCATGTCACCCTTCGACTCCGTGATTAGGACAACGATAATTCATGACGATGACGATGATTCGACGATCATGATGCAGATGATGATGATGATAGTGATGATGATGATGCTTATGAATGAGTATATGGTGATGATTATGATGCTGATGACGATGACACTGATGATGATGACGATGACGGTAATGATTATGATCATGATCCTGATGTGTGTTTGGATTGAGTATGGTTGATCTTTGTTGTATTTTCATGTATCGGAAGGTTGGGGCCTGAGCGATGCCTATAGTGACATGATTTGACCGCACCATGGGCTTCATTTGTTCAAGCATGTTGAGTGTCAGTGTTGTTTGCCGTCTGGCATGTTTGCATCTGTACACCTGAGCACCTGTTTGCATCCAAGATTCCGCTGCACGGCGAGGGCACACGGTGGATCTTCAAGAAGCCGGCCACAGCATCGAACGACGTGGCGCTGTTGATGACACCGGTGTCGGGCCGCGTGTTTTTGATCCAAGACAAACTGAAGCAGCAGAAGCAAGCCGCATCCAAGAAAGTGAACCCAACGAAGATTTTGGCTGCAAACGAGCCCAAGCGAGCAGCAAAGGCAACCGCGAAATCCAAGGCAAAGGCAAAACCAGGTGCAGCCAGTAAGACTGTTATCGAGCCATCAGATGATGCAGGGAGGACTGACAACGAGGTTGCCGTGCACGGCGTCGGTGGCACTGCATTCGCACGGGAGAAGTATTTCATTGATTGCCTCGTCATGTGTGTGCGCAGTGCCTTGCGGGCAGCACGGAAGACATTCGGTGTGCCAGAGGAGTCGGGGAACTTGACTGATGCTGAGACGGGGCAACTCGTGTACACGCCAATGGAGCTGAAGCTGTTAAGGGACGTCATCAAATCTGGATTGGCATTTCTGATGGATGGAGAATTCAAGTTGCTGAACAAGACTTACAAGAAGTGGTCATCTTTGCGACCAGCGCTTCAATCCTCGGTGATGAAGCGTTACGAGACGGTGGTTTGATGCATTAGTTCACAGTTGACTTGTGTGTCTGTGTGTTTTTGGTTGTGTGTGTCCATGTGCTTGATAGCTAGCTTGAGTTGGCATGTGTTTGCATGCGTGCTCCACATTTCATGTTAGGATCTCCATGTCACGCGCACCTTGACGACAAGCTCTGGTGTGGATCAGAATGACGGCGATAGGGTTGAGAACATTGCAAAGATTCTACCTGCTGTCAGCAGGTCTCACTCCGATAGCGAGCTTACGAGCATTGTGAAGGCATGCAAATCGAAGGAGCTGGAGCCACTGATTCCAGAGTTGTTCAGGTGGCTCGATGCCGAGAGATGCGCCACCAAGCAGACCAATCCACTCGAGACAAAGCCATCCTTGCACATGACTATGGCCAAGATTCTCGAGCAGTGGGAAGACTTGTGTAGCTGCGGTGAGAGGAGGACATAGTCATAATACACTCCACACATGCTTATATTTAGCCATTGGGTTGGATGACATGACTTGCAGGCTAAGCCTGACTGCCAGGACCAATGTCGAGACATGTATCGTTCATCAGCACAAAGCAGACGTGATGGATGTGGTATTTCAGATCTGCCAACTGACTTGTGCTATCGTACCTCATGCGGTTGTGGCGGCGGGAAAGATCATCAGCAGTCTGGTTGCCACCACGTGGGGAGGGGCTTTGCCTGCTGCATTGCAGGATCATACGGATCAGGAGTTTGTGAGGGCAATCTTCACAAACAGAGGTATCTCAGCGCTAGCAGAACTTCGCAAGGACTACATAGTGTTAGCTTGCGTGCATGCACTCTGTGACCGAGTCCAATGCAATACAGATCAACTCAAGCATTTGGTCAAGCATCACAACGCCGTGTTGCTTGAATTGGACACATGCTGTGACGTCGCCGAGCTGGACGCCTTGAGCACCGGCTACGGCACAGCGTTCACAGAGCTACTAAAAAAAGGCACAGTGACAATGGCTGAGCTTTCGGAGGAGACCAGCAATTCCGAGAAGGGGCAAGGATCCGCCGCAGGGTCGGCCACAGCGAACACCAGCGAGTCAGCATCCGGAACAGCTGACGGGCGACTTTGTTCTTTGCGTGAGCTTAGCAAGCTGTGCCAACAGAATCAGATCAATGCTTTCGGCTTGAGTACAACCGAGTCCTTGCACGAGTTGCGATTGTTGATTGCTGCAGACATGATGACAAAGTCCAGGCCGGAGATAGTAATGGCAGTCCCATGGTTTGTGGTCATGCTCTGCTAAAATGTTAGTATATGCTGATAACTGAGTGGTATCATGTTACTTGCTTGCATCCCGTCAGCAATGTCACGTGTGATTTGTCACTTCTCAGATGTTGCCATGTTGTGCTCAGTGTTTGCAGGGCCTACGAGCACGAGCACAGCTGCAACTCCAGCATCTTCTTTCATACCACAACTTCCGAGAAGGGCGATAAGAGTGTGTCCAACACCGAAGTTTTGCTTCTGTTGCACGACGGCTGTGACAAGGTGACCGAACTCATTGGGAATGCCTCAGCAGAGCCTGTGCGTGTCACGCTTGATGAAGTCACAACCGAGAACTTCCGGAACACCTTCCGCTGCTACCTGTGGGGTGACGTGAGTGCTTGGGCATTCATGGCATGTGTTGCAATGACTGGCAGTGCAGTAGTGTGTGTGTGTGTGTGTGTGTGTGTGTGTGGCAAGTCTCGTTTGCTTTGGTTGCATGCATGGCGTACCCATGTTGTGTCGCTGCGGTTGTTGCTGCCATCATGCACATGTCGGCCGTGGTCACTATGTGTGCATGCATGCACGGTTGAATGGAGTGAATGCCTTGATATGAATTGATATGATTGATATTGCTTCGGCTGGCTTTGACCGTTAGTTTGTACACGATGCTCAGGCACCGATGTTCAGGTGATGCAGAAGATGCCCAAAGTGATGCAGGTAACATCCATCCAGGTTAAGGACAAGTCCGCAGATGAACCGTTGAAACTCCACTTCGGGAACTCCGACACAACCATGGACGTCGACTTCTTTGTCCACGGCACGAACAACTCGAAGATGGATGCAAGTGTAGTGTGTCCAGGCTGGATGATCCCGCCAACGGACCTTGCCTCCCCCATCCTGAAGGTGTATGAGGCGAAGCACACAATGCAGTTCAAGGGCGGATCCATCGAGTACACTGTGCCATACCTGGCAATGCCTGCTTCAGATGGCGATGCAATCACCACCCCAGTGCTTGTAAAGGTTGTCAACGGCAAAGCATTCGCAGTTCTCATGCGGTCGCACTTGTCTTTGACTCAGCATGTGCCATGCATCTGGTAGGTCATGTAGGTTCAGTTGTGTGTGGTGTCTGCCAGTGTCTGCTTGTGTACCTTGATGATCTGTCGGTTGTTGTTGAGTTGTTGCGCAAGGATTGGAGAAGAGTGGAAGCCGAAGAAGGGAGTGAAGCGTCCCTACCCGGGGGCTGCCTATGCACATGATCATGATCTTTGGTCATCCGGTGACGTGTTGCTTGAAGCCTTTGGTTTGACTCCCGAAGGCGGGAGCATTGGTATGACATCTCGTGCACGTGGCAGGGGTGCTAGCCCTAGCAAGAAGCTGAAGCCAAACAATCGTGCTCGGCACTTGGTTCGCTGAGCAGTGCAAATCATGTCATACATTGCGATGCTTCCCATAAGCTGGAAGCGGATCGACCGGATCGGCGCAATATGATTACAACAACAAAACAAAACTTTGCCATCCTTTCAAAGTCTGACACAAGAGAAGCTGCTGGTGACAGACCGACCGGATCGACACAACGAACCACTCATTGCGATGCTTAGCAGAAGCTTGCAGAAGCTGGTAGCAGATCGTCACAACCACAACGGAAAAATGATCGAGTGAAGTGCTCATGTGCATCGTTGCATAAAGCTGTCATGAGGTGGCTGTTGTTTGAGGTACTAATTATCGCGAGCCTTGTTTCGGCAGTGGTTTTCACATCCACTGGGTAGACATCGGCACTTTGCAGAAAACCAGTCGGACGACGTATGCATGCTCTAGTCTAGATTGCTGTTGTGGCCCGAATTGATTTGTCGTTGGCACTCGCGACCTGCAACCATGGCCAACAACAAACAGCTGACTGTATGTACTTCACTTATGTTTTGGAATCAGCTTTTTGGTGGTGCCACCACCGCAGCAGCTTGTCATCGAGTGACCTTGAAGTCATGAGCCATGAGCCATGAGTGACAAATTGTTTGTTGGTTTGAGTACAGTGATTGGCGCTTGGTCAGGCTTTGTTACTTTGTTCGTGCTTAGTGCTTAGTGCAGTGCGTAGTGCTTGACTGTCGGCTGCTTGACTTGATCGCTGCAATGAAGCTTTTGTGATAACAACCAGACCAACACCACCACCAACAACAACACAACAACAAGTACAGGCATCAACTAACAACATCACCACACCACCGCGACATGCATCACAACGACAACACCATCAACAACACCAACAACAACGACTGTCAATGCACGGCAACAATCATGCCGTTGCAAAGCAACCAACCAATCACATCATGCATGCTCACACAAGCATGAGTCCGAACATGAACATCCATGCTCAATGGTTGGCAATCATCATGGTAGCTCAGCAATCTGACTCAGCAGCGGCATGCAACGACAGACAAAACATGCATTTCTCAACAAGCCAACCAAGCCAATGCAAGGCAACTGTAATGACCCTCTCACCAATACAAGCAACCGATCAGAAAGCTTCATGCTCGGCAAACATTAGAATTGCCCACAACCCACCAACCAATCACATCATGAATGCTCAGCGAACCAAGTTGGCCAATGCACGGCAACAATCATGACGTTGCAAAACAACCAACCAATCACATCATGCATGCTCACCCAAACATGAGTCCGAACAGGAAAACATGCTTGATTATGTCCGCAACTGCAATTGTCACATAACTCCAGCAGCCGCAAACCATATATGAATGAAACAAAAAATCTAGATGCATCCAAAAAAAAGTGCTTAGTCCATAAAGTTTGGCTGACACAAAAAACAAACACTCAGGTAAGCTTTTTGGCATATCACAACATACGGGATGGGGCTGACTGTTACTTGACTGGCCTGCCGGGTAGCCTTGGGCAGGCACCCGGGCTCGCGCCCATACTAAATCTGAACATGGACCCAAGGGGTTTTGGACATGCTTAAGGTACTTCGGTTGATGATATAAATCCTGCATTACTTTAAGGACCCTAAAGTATGGGAACTATGGTATATTCCTTATTATGGGTAATGCAGGATTTATATCATCAACCCTTGGACCCTTGGGGCTACTATTTGGGATCGATACGGATCGATGCCTTCATGCCAGGCCCAGGGGTGTAGGGATTTAGGGATTTAGGGATTTAGGGATTTACGGGTTTAGGGGTTTAGGAGTTTAGGGATTTAGGGGTTTAGGAGTTTAGGGGTTTAGGGTTTAGGGGTTTAGGGGTTTAGGGATTTAGGGTTTAGGGGTTTAGGGTTTAGGGATTTAGGGGTTTAGGGGTTTAGGAGTTTAGGGATTTAGGGGTTTAGGGGTTTAGGGGTTTAGGAGTTTAGGGATTTAGGGGTTTAGGAGTTTAGGGGTTTAGGAGTTTAGGGGTTTAGGGTTTAGGGGTTTAGGGGTTTAGGGATTTAGGGTTTAAGGGTTTAGGGTTTAGGGATTTAGGGGTTTAGGGGTTTAGGAGTTCAGGGATTTAGGGGTTTAGGAGTTTAGGGGTTTAGGGTTTAGGGGTTTAGGGGTTTAGGGATTTAGGGTTTAGGGGTTTAGGGTTTAGGGATTTAGGGGTTTAGGAGTTTAGGGTCTTAGGGTTTAGGGGTTTAGGGTTTATCTTAAAATTACCTTGCCCCAGCCCGCCGGTATCAGGGCCAAAAAAAGCTTCGAAATGCCCGCTTTATGGCCGGATCTATCCTTTGCGCGAGACAAAGAAGGACTTCCTCCAGGTGGCTGCAAAGGAAGCCCTCGAGAATGCGAAGAAGCTAGTTTTTGCCATGTTCTTTGCATCTGATATGCAGGTTGCCTTCTATCTTACTTCGCAGTCAGGGCAAAAGCTCAGTCTAGGGCTCAGCCTTGAGTCCCTAACCCTCGCCAGTGCTTTCACAATGGGGAAGACCAAGAACGAGAAGAAGCTGGCAAGCGAGCGAGACCGCCCTGAGAGAAGAACTCGAGCTGCTGCCGCAGCGGCGGCTTCATCAGAGGATGTCCCCATGGCCGAAGCTGGCGGGGATGCTGGCGAGTCTGTCGATATCCGCGGGTAACACCCTGGGTCTCCGGTGACCCAGAGAGCAGAAAGACCCCTCGATTCGGTTTAGGGTTTCGGGATATATGCCTGAACTCGGGATTGCTCCTGCTGCTACTACACAATGAGCCTTAATCTTGATGTAAGGTGCACTCCTTGGCTGTGCAGCCTGGGCGGCCCTAGAGACAACGCCGCACTGTTTTCGCAAAACCTTGTTTAACAACTCTGAAAGGTGCGAACAGTAAGTAAACTCGTGACCCGAGCCCCTGATTCCCTTATACCCTCAACCGCTGCACTTTCTGGCTTCGGTCAGGGCCAACATCCACTTGCGAGACGGCCTGCTCGTCATCATTGTCCGCTGTCGGACTCATGCACAACGTCGCCCCGTGCATGTTTGGGGTCCGGGGCACCTTAGTTAGGGCCCCAAAAAAGCACATAAGCAAAAATAAGGTTAGGGATGTCCCATATAAACCCCCTTATAATGAAGCCCAATAAGGTAGGGATATCCCGATAAAGATGCTTATGCTTATGTGCTGTTTGGGTCCCTGATTAGTGCTTCTGTCTGTCTCCTTCATCTCCCCACTGCGTGGTTCAAGGGCAGTTATACGTGGGGTTATAAGTAGTGTAGGGTTTAGGGTTTAGGGTTTAGGGTTCATAGTTCTAACCCATATCAGGGGGTTCATAACTTGTACTTATAACTGCCCATGAACCTCCAAGCAAATCCTAAACCCTAAACCCCTGAACCCTATAAAGCCTGAACACTAAAACAAGGAACTCCTATAGATCCTTGGAGGCCCATGAACCTCCAAGTAGACCCCAAACCCTATACCCTTATAGAATCCCTATAGATCCCTTTAAAGGGACCCTGGTTACGGCTTAGGAGTGAGGGAGGCTCCGGGCTAAAGGTCCAAGTACCAGCCAGTGAGCTCAATACCCTTCAGTCGGGGATATACCTTCTGGGGTTCCTTTAAAGGTTTAGGGGTTTAGGGTTTAGGGGTTTAGGGTTAAGGACTAGACCTTAAATCATGAAGGGCCGCATATTATGATTTAAGCTGCATTCCTGAATTGGGCTCTCTGGGTAAGTAGTGCTATTGGGTTATACTACTTGCAGCCCGACTGGTGGTCTTATGAAGCCCTCTGAGCTTTATAAACCTGTGTGCAAAAGCCTACAGAGGGCTTCTGCAACGCTTAACCCCAATACCTAAACCACCTTAAACCCTAGACCCTAAACCCTAGACCCTAAACCCTAAACCCCAAGCCCTAAACCCTAAACCCGTAAACCCTATACCGAACAATGGTTCCCCAGAGAACCCAATACCCCTTAATTAGGGAATATGGCTTAAATCATAATATGAAGCCCTATATAATTTAAGCCATATTCCTTAATTAAGGGGTATTGGGCTCTCTGGGTCTTTCTGTGCCAGTACATGAGACCGGTGCAGCCGGACCAGAAGGATAACTTGCCCGCGATGAGGCAGCAGGTGCTCCCGCATTACGGTCCTCAAGGTTTAGGGTTTGGGGTTTAGGGTTTAGGGTTGGGGTTGAGGGTTCAGGGTTCAGGGGTTTAGGGTTGCGGGTTGAGGGTTTAGGAGTTTCGGGTTTAGGAGTTTAACACTTTCGCATTGGGCTCGAGGGTGTCGGGTTTCGGTGGACTCGACGGAACGGTTTGGAGTTGTCGAGTTGAGTATTTAGGATCGACAGTTCAGGCTGGACGGATAGCCAGGGTACGTAGAGGTTTAGGGTTTGGGGTTTAGGGTGTCTGCTTACCTATACAAGTAGCGACTTAGCTTCCAGTGTTTACCGATTCAGAGGTGTGGAACACTGCTTTGTAGTATTCCTTGGTTGTCCTATATACATTAAACCACACGTGAATGACAGTGTGCCCCGAAGCCTATACCAATGATTATGACCACTCCGTTGCAGTTTGCGGAGTGTTCAGCACTGAGCACCTCAACCCGTCATCTCTCGTAGTACCTTACAAATCGTGTGCTTCAGACCCTGTAGTACCCTTGAGGGCCCTTCTAATTCTAGGAAGCTTAATTTGCGGCCGGAGGTCAAAT